TTCTCCATGTTGATGTTTACATTTCTTACTATTCAGGATCCTCAGCCAGGGCTGGTGGTGCAGGCATCTCTGCTGTAGCCCTATATGATTACCAAGGAGGTAAGTTTGAAGCCACCTGAAGGGCCTGGTACACCTGGTGGCCCATGATATGAAGGAGAAGGGGTGGGTTCTGAGGGTCAAGAAAGGGCCCAGAAAACCTGGCCTATTTCCTTCCCCGAGGCCTAGAATGGGCCCAGAGAGGCACAGAGGAATTCCTGTCTGACCATCCTAACATCTCAACTTCCTCCCCAGAGGGAAGTGATGAGCTTTCCTTTGATCCAGATGACGTCATCACTGACATTGAGATGGTGGATGAAGGCTGGTGGCGGGGCCAATGCCATGGCCACTTTGGACTCTTTCCCGCAAACTATGTCAAGCTCCTCTAGTGACCAGTCCTTTAACTCCCTGTGTTCGAAGCTGCTCTGCCTCCCTCTTCCCTCTCCATGGTACTGCTGCAATGACCTAACTGTATATCATGGGATGCCTCAAGTTCTGGCAGTCTGTCTCTTGCCTCTTTAAGAGCTTTAGGTAGAACCACTAGAGGCAGGGGTGGGGGTGGGGGTGGAGGTGGAAGGTGGGTATCCCTCTGTTCCTCTGTGTCCATTCTTCCCTGGAGTAGCTCATGAAATCATCTTGCAGCCCTGCCTCCTCCAAGCACACTCCAATTCTGCTCTCTCTAGAGTGCTGGGATTCCCTCATCCCCACCCTGGGTGCCACTAGAGGGGAGGCTCTCATTGGGCTGCCTGGTTCACCCTGTTCTGCTTTTGCTCCGTTTTCTTCCTTTTTCAGACACATTGGAATGTCCTACTGTTTAGTCCTAAAACTGAAAATAAAGCAAGACCGTGGCTTAGCTTTGTACTGGGTTAGTGGTGCTTTGAGCTCAGGGCTCTCTGGCCCTGACTCTCCATCCTTCTCCCACTTATACCTAGAAAACTCCCTCTAGTCTGGCTTATCACTGCCCAGCCCCTGTGCCATGGAGGTGGGGAGCTGGGCCTTTTTATTTGGCTGTACATTAACCCCAGACTTAAACAGACAGACCTGTTGCCTTAGTTAAGGTTCCTAGTGCTATGATAAAGTATATGACCAAAAACAGCTTGGGGAGGAAAGGGTTTATTTCAGCCTACAACTGTTAAGTCACACTTCATCACTGAGGGTCACACTCCATCACTGAGAGAAGCCAGGGCAGGGATTCAGAACAAGAACCTAGAGGCAGAAACTGAAGCAGAAGCCAGGGAGGAATGCTGGTTACTGGTTCGTTCCCTATTGCTCAGCCTTCTTTTTTACATACCCAGAACTGCCTACCCAGGGATGGTTACCACTCATAGTGGGCAGGTCTCCCCACATCAACTACTAATTTTTAAAAAAAATGCCTTACAGAATTACCTACAGGGCATTTTATGGAGGCATTTTATCAACTAAGTAAGATTCCTTCTTCCCAGATATGTCTAGGTTTGTGTCAAGTTAACAAAACCAACCAGCATACAAGTGAATGACAGCAGTGTGGAATAACAGGGTCAGGTGACATCCAGATTAAGGTAATTCAGCCTCTGCTGGCTTTAGCAGTTGTATGAGGTTAGCTTCTTGCCTGGGAAAACCAGATTGTTTATACAGTTGGTGTGCGTGCGTGCATGTGTGTGTGTGTGTGTGTGTGTGTGTGTGTGTGTGTGCAGGTACACTTGTGTGTTCAGGTGTACATGTGTGTGTGTTGAGTAGAGTGCAATGTTAGCTGTCAGTCCTTAGGAATATAATCTGCCTCTTGTTAAACAGGATTTATGCTTGATCTGGAGCTCACCAATTGGGACCCAGGAATCCTTGTGTTTCTGTTTCCTCAGCACCAAGATTATCAGCAAAAGCTGCCACATCTGGCATTTTATATGAGTTCTGAGCTTAGGCCCACCTGCTTGCTAGGCAAGCACTTGGCTAACTGAGCCACCTCCCTGACTCCCTGGCAGATGGTCATTCTCTAGGAAGAAGTACAGATTAGAGGGTTGGGAGTAGGAAGGGAAGGTTGCCTGTCCCAAAAAAGACTAACACCAAAGGAGAACAAATTCAAGTGGGTTGAAGAGTGTCTAGGGGCTTTAGGAAGGCAAGGCTCCCTGATAACTGGATCCCATGTCCAGAAAAGGGCAGATAAACAAAGTTCATGAGGCTTCTGTGTGGTCCAGAGCTGGAGCAGGTAGAAAGAGATGAAGATTTCCATGTAGCCATGATGAGCAAAACATGATTCCTCAAGCACAATACTGAGATGAAAGAGAAGAGGGTTTAACCAGCCCCAGCAAAGAAGGGAGATCCTGGTATACAATCCAAATGAATGTCAGGGATTGAAGTAGGACATTGTTGGTTGATATGCTATAGAACCCAAAGACCTCAGCAGTCTTGGCATGGGTCTCAGCTCCCAAAAATGGAGGGGGCATTGGGGTGGATCTACACTAATGGCTGAGACTGCAGTTGCCTGGAACCCCTTCGAGGCGACCCCACCTCTACACCATCCAGACTTTTTACTGGCCTTTCTTCAAGACAAACACTGCTAGATTTTAATGATGACTTTTATGCTTGCCAGTAAATCACAAGTCTGTCTCTAGACCTAACTCACAAGACTGACTCACTTAACCTTTCTGTGGGCAGAGTAGCCTTTATTTCTCATTAGAAAGACATTGGGTTTGCTGATGTATAGCGGTAAGTCACCATAGATGCATAAACCTGTGTTCTCCACTTCAGGGTGATTTGGCATCACGCATACGTTAGACCTGCACAGTGGTGTGGTGTGGCTTTAAACCTATCTCTAATTCTCATCTTGCTTCCGATCGACTGCCCTTTCCTTGTAAGACAACTTCCTTCTCGACTCCCCATGCTGCTAAGGCTACAGGCCATTTGGGGCACAGTTCTATAGTCTTCCACCTCTGCAGTCAGCTGATTTCTGCCTCTGAGTTGCCTTTAAGGATGCTGTTCATCAAAGGGCTCTGCTCATAGATGTCTTCCAGTCCAGGCTCATGCTCGAAATACATTCTTCTCCAACTTCGTCAGCTTCTGTGTAATCTGAAGCCACGTGGAGCTGTCTCGACTCTGTCACGGGTACCCGTCACTCATGGTGCTCTCTGAAGCTTCATTTCCTTAGTCCAATCATTCATCAATCCTGGCATCTCGATATGGTCCCTTTATGTCTGCCCTCTTCCCACAATGTGGAAAGTATGTCTCTAGGGACCAGGGAATGCCTGGGGTATCTTGATTTCCTTTAACAGAAATAATGGATTCCCTTATAAAAAAAATGTTTGAAGATGTCAATAATCTAAGTACTTCTCTGAGATAGGAAGTGGGGGAAGAAAGTGTGGCTGGGAAGTATCCACACCCCAATGGGGGTCGGGGGGAGGGCTCCCGACTGTCTCCTTGGCCAGGTGGCCTCTAGCAGTACAGCTTAAGGTGACAGAACCCTGCGGCCTCCCTGCCTCTCTATGCCCCTGGCTCTTGTAACTGAGTCTGGGATTTGTTTCCATGGTCTGTAGTTCCCGCTCTCTTTCTAATAAACCCCGAGAAGCTTTGAGTACTCCATTCCACTATGTGGGAAGAACCAGATTCCAAATTTGCAGAGCCAAGACCTGACGAGCTCGCTTCCCTTTTGCCAACCTCATTGTTTAGCTGTTTTCAGTTACTCACCTTCACTTTAGAGAACACTCTAGACACATTTTTAGAGAAATGATGACTCACAAAAAAAGTGGTGAAATACAAACCAAACTGTAAAGATTAGGAATAAATAATAGCACTGTGTTAACAATAGCGTGTGAGGAATATAGCGGAGAGTGAGCTTGCCCTGAGAATGGACATACTCTATTGCCTTTGCAGAGGCACCAGCTTCATCAGCATCACCCTCTTCATCTGCACCAGCTCTGAACTATGGTCAGAGAGTCAGATGCCCAGACAACGAGCTCACAGATTGGCGAGACTCCTTCATTATTGGGATTCTTGGCTGGCTGGTTCCCTGTGGTGCCTGCCTTCCTTTTTCCTTGTTTTTCATTAGTTTGAGAACTTATAGAGTTGCTGGAAAATGGCACCAACTAATGGAAGAGGAACTTAAGATAAATGACTTCCCTGGTTTCAGGTTTCCCTAAAGAGGGCAGGGAAGATATATTACATTGTGGCCCAAGGACACCAAGCCATACTGGGTAGACCAGCTCCAGCTGGTTCTCAATTTAGCATCACCACATGTTTAAAACTTATTTAGTAAACGAGTGAGAGTTGCATTGAATTATGCTGGCCATGTAAGGTCAGATTTGTCACAGCAAAAAGTGAGAACATCCTAACTTAGCATTGCTGATGTAGCATCCTTTAGGACAGTGGCTCTCAACCAGGAGCTACTTTGCTTCCAGAGATCTTTGACCTTTCCTTCACTTTAAAGAGGTTTTTTTTTTTTCTTGGTGTTGCCAAGACTATATACAGCAGATTGTTTTTGCTTTGACTTGTGGTGTCCTTGAAACTGCTGTGCTTACAGTGTGGTCCATTCCCTTGGGTTGCCTTGAAACCATCTGGGCTTTGATGCAGTAGGGTGACTTTAAAGCCCTGAATTGTCAAGACCAATCAAGCTTCAGAACATTCCAGCTGGATTCCCTTCACCTGGACACCCTGGGAGGTCATTGCACCTCAGACCCTGTCCCTGTTTGCCTGCCCCAAGAACTTGAAGGTGGTTTGTAAACTGGACAGCTCAATGTAGAAGCACTAGTCTATGCTGGTTACAGAGTTTCCTTGTTCTCCAGTCAACTAAGAACTTAGGTTTGTTTATCAAATGACCTTAAGTTATTAATTTTTCTCCCCAGACTTATCTATTTTAGGAGAGGAAAGAAGTAAGATAAGGCAAAAAATGTGGTGCTTTCATACAAGCTGTAGCTCAAAAAAATCCCCTAATGTCCTAGTATAGTTGCTAAGGCCTGAAGGACTTCACACATCCTCTAGATGTGCAGGTTTCAGAGTGGTGCCCTCAAACCACACTGTCCTACTTTGAATAATCCTGAGAAGCCAGGAGCAGTGGTGTGCAAACCTTTAAGAGTGTCTGCCCCGTGGTCGGGCCCTAAATGTGGACACTAAGCTCTCTCGGGCCTGCTCTTGGGGCTGGCACATGCTGGTCAAACGAATCGGGTCAGTCTTATGCTCCACAACGTTGAAAGGACAGGTTTTCAGGTGTTCAGACATGGAGGTGACTTCATTAAACTCCCAGCTCTTGATTTTTGAGAAGAGGCTGCTGAACTGCCAGATCTGTCAGAAAGAGAAGCTCAAGGTAAACACGGGCAGCGGGTACTGAGTGCTTACAGGTGCATGGGCAGGAAGTACTGAGTGCTTACAGGTGCATGGGCAAGAAGTACTGAGTGCTTACAGGTGCATGGGCAGGGAGTACTGAGTGCTTCCCGGGTGTCCAGCCATTAATAATCTTCCCAGTATATAATCTTCAGCTTTGTAATTGCTTGTGATGCCTGATGTCAAAACAACTGACACACACCTTCCCCATCTTCCCCTATGATTGACACACACCTTCCCCAACACATATGTGAGCATTGGCACAAACCTCCACCAGCACCCCTATGAGCAACAGAAATTAATTCTGGATACACAGTTCAAATCTTGATGGTTAGCACTCATGGGGCTCTGTTCTGGGTCTTTTGAAGGAAACATCAAAAGCTGATTCTCTTTTCTTTCTGTGCTTGAACCAGGAGGAAGCTGGGGTCTGAGGAGCCCCCCAGGTACTAGGGGCACCCAGGAAGAACTATCTTAGAATAAAGCCAGTATTGCAGAAGTGAGGAGAAGCAAAGGTCTCTGAGCTGTTCAATTGAGCCTTACCTGAGACCATTTCCTTTGGACTTTTAAACTTTATAGGTTAATATAATTCTTCTTATCATTTATGCCCTTTTATGTTTGCTTTCTAAGACTTAAAATTTAAAATAGCCTAACAAAGAAGAGTCTTGTTAGAATAAAAGACTCCAAAGAAGATTTTGGTGAGTATGGTGCTCAGTCAAACATTGATTTTTCTACTTGGGCTGGTATAGCAAAGTCACCAGCTTTGACGTTCTGGGGTTAGATACACTAATAACCTTTTGGCCTGACTGCTCAACCATCATAGTTTAATCATCATTCCTGTACAAGAAAAGTTTTCCTGAAATCTTAGAACTGCTATCTATTTTACTTTCATAAAGACATCGGGATGGGTATGGCCCTCATGCCTCACTGGACAACGATAGGGGGACCAGAGCCATTACAAGGTCCCCTTCAAGTACTGGAGGTCAGGCCTCTATCCCCACCTTTGCAAGTTTAGAATTGCCATAGCCCTTCTATACTTAGAGAAGGGAGGAGATGTCAGGGGCAGCCCTGCTTATACACCAAAGGCCTAAAATCAGCCATAGGCCTAAAATCAGCAATAGGCCTGTCATACATGTATACTAACACCAAGTCTTGGGTTTCTGTGGAAAAACATTGAAACAGATGGCTATAAGCTATTGTAAACAGGCAGCTTTTGTGGAAATTTACCAGCCTGAGGAGTCATAGACCTTGTAAATAGGTAGCCTTGGCAGACAATACCAACTTAGATAAGGACAAGTGAGTCATAGGCAGAGTCGTAGTGACTTGTCTCCTGAACTTTCACCCAGCCAATACCCTGTTCTGAAAGATATCTGTATTCCCCCTGAACACTCACTCTCCAGTGTCATCCCCTTCCCCATGTCCTGCCTTTTTGTGTTTATAACCCCTGTGTGAATAAGTAAAAATTATGATTTGATTTAATAAAATAGATAAAAATAAAAAAATAAAATCAGGAATGAGAAAAGAAAAAAGAAAAAAAAAGTCTTTCATATGAGTGTTCTTTGGCCTCATGTAAATTCCTTCTCCCTTTCTATAAGGAAATTAGCCTGTCCCAAGTGATATCCAAAAGTAGCCAAAATATTTGATTTGAGGCAAATATGAGCAAAAAATTTTTTTTTAGTTTGTAAATTGAATTATTGACATCTGATTGTGCTAAGAAAGATATGTACCGGTCTTAGATATCAATAGGCAGTGCATTGCTCTCACTAATGTGTAACACTAATGTTGCTGGTGGCAACTGGTGTTTAACACATGGATGCACACGTAGATACATAAGAGAGTCTTGTAATTATATTTCCAGGAAGACTGCTTAAGGAATAATTAAGAGAAAATATACAGAATAGTTTGGACATAATCAATAAAAATATAAACAAACAACTCTAATTCCTCCATACCAACTTGAGAACATCCACTATCAGGGACAAACAGAACAACGGCGTTAACGACCTGAATAGACGTCGTATGTTCAGGGTTCATATTTTCTACACATTTGCTGTGAGAAAAGATACTGCAAACACCTTGGGTAAGATGAACTAGGAGTCTGACTTCTGGAGAAGTTGTAATTTGGTGATGATAATGACTCAATTGAGAGAAGGAACACAGTTTAACTGAAGAAACGGATTATTTGGTTTATATGGTGTAATTTTTTTATATTAAATAAGCAATTCAGCTATGGAACTCAATGACCAAACTCATACAATTTTAAAATAAAACCTGGTTTTTTTTTAAGCCTGCTGGCATGAGACTGAGATGAATTTATCTATTAATTACATCAATCAGAGTCCAAGCAGGGGGATGTACATTTGTTCAATGCTACTTCCATCCCCCTGGACAAAAAGCAAAAGTGATCTATAGTCAGGAGCTGAAGCCCTTTGCCATCAAGTCAGAGGTTGCTCCAGAGCTGAGCAAGAAATGGAAGAGTGATTATGTGATTATGATTATTGATTATGTCCAAACTATTCTGCATATTTTCCCTGGGTACACCCAGGTAGGGATTTTGTTTTGCTTTATTTGTCAGGGAAGGGGGATGGTTTACAACTCTGAGGGCAATATCCAGAGCTCTTAGCCCTTACATGGAAAGAGGAAAGCTGTTCACCAGACCCAGAGCGAGTAGCCATGTGGAACAAGTCACCTGGTGTGGCCACCTTCAGTGGAGGGACACAGCCACTTCATGGTGTCTTGAAGGGGAGGGGTGGGCATGCTGAGGAGACTGTCAGCACTTCCCTTCCCTGCTTCTCCTCCTGAAACATTCACAATGGATTGGCTTAACAAGAAGCTGGAGGGCAGGGGAGACAGCTGAGGCAAGCTGCAGAGATAAGTCTCTGGGATAGCCCAGGCTGGAGAAGGATGGAGAAGAGAGCCAGTGCGGAATAAGTGAGCTAGTGAAAGACATTCGAGGCATATAAGCAGACAGTAGCATCTATGCTGTCGAACATATGCTTATCTACTACCTGTCCTGCTAGACTCAGCTCTTGGAGTGAGTCTTACTTTTAGCATCCTTCCCAGTTCCTGGCACACCACTTGTCACCAAGAGAGCTCTGAATGAATGAATGAATGAATGAATGAATGAATGAATGAATGAATGAATGAATGTTAACTTGCCTGATTGTGGACTTTCCAGGAGGTGCCTCCATGAGAATACCTCTTCTTCTTCCACTGCAAGAGGACCATCCCTCTCTCTTGCAACAAAGTGGCACAGATGTTCCTCATTAGCACTGATACCTGGGACAGCTGGGACAGGCTGATGCTGTCCAGAAACCCAGCAATGTACTGCAAAAGCTCCAGGGGCAGACTGGTTAAAGAATTCAGGTTTTTCCCATCATGGTCTGAGAGATGGTCACTCTTCCATTTCTTGCTCAGCTCCGGAGCAACCTCTGGCTTGATGGCAAAGGTCTTCAGCTCCTGACTATAGATCACTTTTGCTTTCTGTCCAGGAGGGCGGAAGTGGTTTTGAACAAATGTACATCCCAAGTAGGCAAGGGGGCATCGATGCTGGAACCAGCCATTGAGACACGACTGAATGTCGGTGTGGACATTCTTGAAGTGCAGGGGAAATTCATCCCTTCTGAAGAATTTGTTGCAGGTAAAAGTAAAGGCTGAGCTGCTTTTGTTGTGTCTTCTGGTCACGCACTCACTGTGGAGCTCCACGTGCAGGCCCCCAGGTTGGGCAGTGCCTAGGAGGTCAGCCAACACTGTCTCTGAGGAAAACTGTTCCTGCTCAAAGTTGTATGTTTGGGTGGCAAGGTCCATAAAGAGTCCATCGATGCTCCTGGACTCAGAGATGACATGGCCTTTGAGTTCTCTTTCCAAAGCACACTGAAGAGTGGTCTTGATGAGATCGGATTTGGGCAAGTCCTCCACAGAGACACCCAAGTCAGAAGTGTCCACGGCCTTGTGTTCACTTGGTCTGCACCTTAACATGGCATCTCCCAAGCGAGCTCGCTTCCCACAGTAGCTTACGGGAATTTTGAAGGTATAAACCGTCTTCACTTCTTGAGCTTCGAGGTTGCCGTAAACAAAGTCTCTCTCCTTGGGCGTACAAGCAGGCATCTGCCCAAAGTGGATGAGCATCCGCCCATTGTGCACCAGATACATGTTATAGTCTTTGGCATCCACGGCTGTTTTTAGTCTTTCCAGAACACCATCTTGCCAGGGAGCAAGCCCTGTCATCTCCATGGAAGCAGGAAGTTCCTGGGGCTTCTGGCTTTCCTGTGGCCCTCTGCTTTCAGCAGAAGCCCCTGCATCCCCTGTGCCACCATCACCGGAGCACTGCTCTTTCCCAGCCACATTTCCATTCTTGTCTTCACTCCTCCCCAAGGAACCTGTTAAAACAGAGGCCGCGAGCTCCTTGCTGAACATACTTTCCCACTTGCCAAACTTGTCCAGGTCCATCCCTTCTTTGGTTTTTGCCAATGCATCTCGTTCCTCCTGGCTGAGCTCCATCATTTGCCCGTTGGTTGCCGGCAAACAAGAGTTTGGTACTAGGCTGGCATCCACTCCCCCGACTGCACCCCCAGTCTCCTCCCAACTGGTGTCACCATTCATGGCTGGCTCCTCCTCCGTAGTGTCTCTGGTTTCTGGGAAAAGCTCTACCATTTTCAAGGATCTGAAGAGAACCTTCTGGTCCTGGAGGGCCAGGGCTGTGTCCAAACACTCTTCGCTGGGGGTCTCTTTCATGATGTTCTCATGAAGGACTGTTTCTGAGTCCACGTTTGGCCAGCGGTTCCATTCCATGGAGCAGCAGACTACACTGGCAGGGCACACCTGCAGGTGCTTAGCCAGTTTGTGGCGTGCCATAGAGAGTGGGCAGCCATACTCAGAGTTGAGGCACGGAACCTGCTCCAGAGGGCAGAGGAGAGTATGTTCTGACTCTTTGCACATGTGGAAGGTAGCTCCACAGAGCAGGTGGCAGCTTATCACCAGGCAGGAAACACTGGGCTCCACCGGAACATGGCAATGGCGGTTGATGCACCCCTCACAGTGCCTGTGCAGCGCAGGTGGAGGTCTACGTGCCCGGCCCTGGACACAGTGGGGACAAAGGCAGAAAAGGCAGGTGAGGGAAGGGGAGTAGAGTGCACTCCTGCAGTGGATTTTAATGCACTTACCTTCTGTCTCTTTAAGACTGCAGTGGCAACTTCAATGCAGAGCCAATTGGGAACACAGAAATCCAGAATAGTTTTTTTAGTAATTTATGCCATTTAAGTGGTGTGTATGTTCAAAACAGAACTCAAAGATTGGATGGTGATAGACTACATTTAAATAACTGTTTTTTTTTCCTTCAAACTATGTATTATGGGTGATTTATAACACAGTTGTCTTAGAGTTATTGTTGATGTAATGAAGATCATATCCAAAAGCAAGCTGGGGAGGAAAGGGTTTATTCAGCTTACACTTCCGCATCACAATTCACCATCAAAAGAAGTCCAGGAGCTCAAGCAGGAGAGAAACCTGGAGGCAGGAACTGATGCAGAGGCCATAGAGGAATGTTGCCTATTGGCTTGCTCCTGAAGGCTTGTTCGGCCTGGTTTCTTATAGAAGCCCAGGAATGGCACCACCCACAATAAAGAAAATGCCTTACAGCTGGATCTTATGGAGGCATTTTCTCAATAGAGATTCTCTCCTTTCAGATAACACTAGCCCAGTGGTTTTCAACCTTCCTAAGGCTGCACCCCTTTAATACAGTTCCTCATGTTGCAGTGACCCCAAACATAAAATTATTTCATTGCTACTCCATTCTTGCTACTGTTATGAATTGTTAAGTAAATATATAATATACAGAATATGTGATATGTGACCCCTGCAAAAGGGCTGTTTGAGCCCCGAAAGGGTCATAACTCACAGGTTGAGAACCTCTGCTCTAGCTTGTCAAGCAGACGTAAGACTTGTTAGTACAACCATCAGTAAGATTTTTTTTCTTTTTTTTTTATTTTCTTTTTTTTTAATTTCTTTTTTTTTTTTTGAACATGAAATGCTTTTTTTATAGCATGTTTTACAAGGGGAGAGGGTAAGAGGGTCTAGGTGGTGGAAAAGTACAAAATCTTCTTGGCCTGTGCCTTGAAACATGTCATGGTCTATATGGTACACTGCCTTGAATTATGATCTACCTGCTGTTCTTCAGAAGATATGGTACACTGCTTGAGTTATGGTCTTCCTGCTATTCTTAAGAAGACATGGTACTCTGCTTTGAGTCTATCTGCAGTTGCTAAGCAGGATCTTGCAGTTGCCAAGCTTCAGAGGACATTGTGCAGGTGGGGAAAGGTAGGGGGTAAGGGTAAGGGCGAGGGTCCTGGCTTCTGGCATCTCCCCCTTCTCTGTTTAGTTAGAGAAGGCGTCTTATGTTCAATCCCAACTATGTGAGTTTTGAATTTGGATGTCTAATTATGGGGGGTCTTAGACAAGTTCACAACCCCAAAACACTGATGTGAGACGAGTCACATCGATGGTCAAAGGCTTTAGGCTGTCGACGATGGGCAACGTCAAGGGACTCTGATGTGGGTGAAAGGAGGGTGAGAGCCCTGTCTTAGGCCATGTAGGCTGCACCCACTCCCAGCACCACGCACTCCTTTTCGGCTGCATTGGGTGGGCCCCTGGGAAGTGGACCTACAATAATCCCGTCATTGGGCTAACTCACAGCCATCCTAGTCTCTTGTAAATGTTCAAGTTACCAACCATTTGTCAGTTTGGGGTGTAATATTGTCATAAAGGAAGGCTCCCCAATGTTAGCAGCCATATCAATGGTGGCCTTGGTTTAGGAAAAAGCCAATTTTTGTTGTGGTGATCAAGAGGCCAAGCTCTCTAGCGAGAGAAATGAGGGCAAAGCCAGGCATACCAGGAACCCTTCTGGAGGGCGTGGAAGTCTAGGGGTCGACCGTAGGGGGAGGCAGGGGAGCTGACAGCTGTGTCAGTCTCCTGCGGAGTCACTTCTGGATCCTCTGCAATTTTCAGCTGATGGTAATGAACTTCAACTGCCTTCTTGATGGCAGCATCAACCTGGTTCCGTGGACGACAGGTCACGGGGGACGATATCTGTCTTGCTCAATCTTGATGTCGTGCGCACATCCTCTCAATGAGGGTCCGTCCGGATGGGTCCGTGCCTCGAGCCCCACGTCTGGGTGCCACTTGACCCGACCGGCGGGTCCTGGTTATTCGTGGGGGCGAGGAGGACTGCAACCTGCTATTCTTCAGAAGATATGGTACACTGCTTGAGTTATGGTCTCCCTGCTATTCTTCAGATGATATGGTACACTGCTTTGAGTCTATCTGCAGTTGCCAAGCAGGATCTTGCAGTTGCCCAGCTTCAGGGGACCTTGTGCAGGTGGGAAAAGGTAGGGGGTGAGGGTAAGGGCGAGGCTCCTGGCTTCTGGTCCATCTGGATTAGAACTTCTAATAGCAGGCATCACGGGTGATTCAATTTTACCTGGGATGCTGCGTGAGTTCAAGCTCCTGGGAGTCCCTGTTTTTCTTGGTTTTCTGCGGTTGGGTACAGAGCTGCTGCCTGCGACCTGCTCTAAGCTCGGGCCCAAACCGGAAGTCCATCAGTAAGATTTTGTGCTTTGTTTTTTTAGACGCAAGACTAGAATTTTTCTTAGAAATTCTTGACATTTCTTTATTCTATTGAATTCCAATTCACCTACATTTCTCATGATGCTTATCACTTGTGAAATAATCTCTTCTAAAGATAAAAAAGGAGGTCATGAAAAGTGGAAAGACTGGGCGCAGGAGGAGATGGGGGAGAGTAAATATGATCAAGGTATGTTGTATAAAAGTCTTTAAGAATTAATAAAAATATTATTTAAAAATTCCTACCTACAGTCACAAAGATATGCATTTATATATTTTTTGGAGTTTTAATTTCTTTTTTATTTCCCATTTTGATCTACAGTGTACTGAGATTATATTTTTGTATATAATTTAATTTGACACCAAAATAATATTTATTCTTTGCAAACTTTCTTCATAATGGTGTATGTAACCTATGAGTGTTCTGTTATTTATCCAGCCAACTATTCTAGAGGACATTCCAGGAGGACAAGGACAAGTCTGGTTTTGTTCACATTTCCCTCTCTTGCATCTAGTACGGGACACAGGCCACTGTAGGAGTTCAGTATACTTCCTGAATGAAGGAACTCATAGCCATTGAAAATCTTACTGGCATTTTTTATGTTTTATTTTTATTAACATTGCATGATAATTTAGTATACATAAACTGTATATGTGATATATGTATACTATATATGTGATATATATATATATATATATATCACACTGTCTAATGACAACATAAGAATAATTAATATTTCTATCTTATTATTTATTAGTTCTATGTGTTGAGCAATTCATCTTCAGTTTCTCACTATAAATCTTTGCTCACAAATCTTTCTCATCCTTCAGTGACGTCTATCCCTCACTGATGGAGATCATTAACTCATGCAGCCACATCTACAATCATTTGCTTGGGCTCTGGAATAAATAGAATTAGACCTGGACCTTTCAACAGTGACGCTCTAACAAAATCCTGATACTTACCATGGCTTCCCCACTTCTGGCTTCTTAACTCTAGAGGAAATATGAAAATATGAATTATTAGTAAAGGAAAGAGCTTGTATGATCAAGAACCAAAGAGACTTCACATAGTCTCGAATTTAAGTCTGCTCACCATATTGGGGGAGTTGCCCCAATTTTTAGTCAAGAAAATGGAGACTTGCAAAGCTAGGTATTTTATCCAAGTTCACATATACACTAAGTGAGGAACCAGGTTTCCAAGTCAGCTGGCCCAGGCTCTTTGCACTGACCCACATGGCCCCAATGGGTGGGACCTATTCCAACTATGGAATCTGTGACTTCTGCTTCTTGCAACTTTTCCTCATTGTCTACCTTCAATTTCCCATCCAGCCCCAATGTCATCTGCCTTCCCATGGGGCTTCATGTCGACAGCTTGATATCCAGCTTGACCTGGGGCGTCCCTATCCTATGCCACTCACCTAGTGTCTTCAGCTGTTCTGGAGTTAGGTCAGGGTGATCCCCCAGGCTCTAGAAGCAGGTTACAGTGGGGACTGTGGCAACTGGAACAGAAGCTGTTCTGCCTTTAGATTCAGGTTACTCAGCTGTGGTTGCTTGGTTTTCTGAGGGATTGTGTTGTCAGATCTTCTGGGTTTTCCAGAGAATGTGGGAGACAGATTTCCATGAGTTTGGTTGAGTGGACTGGCTAGGGGGCTGACTGCATAGGTCTCTCCCCAGCTTTACAAAGCCAGTGGCTATGAGGCCTTGAGAATGTTACTTAGCATCTTTTAAATCCATTTCCCCTCTCTGAAAGAGGAGGATAGCAATACCTACCTCACAGCTTTACTGAGAGGAAGAAATGAGTTAAAGATACATGACATTTTTAGAACAGTGCTTTGTAACCTACACATTTGCTCTTATACAATTCAATTAGTATTTAATATTTCATCATAGTGCAAAATATTTTGCCACATGATATACCAAAATAGTCTCAGAATTTTGTCCTGTCCACTAATAAGTAATACCACTATAACAATTGTGAGCATCCTGCCATTTTTTGTGCCTCCTCCTCTTGAATAGTTAGAGCTGCCCGATGTGAAAATGAGATGCTAATGAAGCTTCATTCCTAAGCACTTCAGAATGGACCTTTTCCTCGGGAGTTCATGGTATCATCATCTCATCCAAGAAAACTAAAACCAATGTCTTAACACTGGATTTATATGTGCATGTCCACACACACACACACACGCACACACACACACATAGACAAACACGAGACAGGAGCTCACTATGTCGCCCTGGCTGTCCTGGAACTTTCTTTGTAGATCTGGCCTTGAGCTCACAGAAATTGCAAGTCTCTGTCTCCTAAATTTTGGGATTTAAAATATGCACCACCACACCTAGCTAGCAACAGAATTCTTTCAGTACCTATGCATTGAACTTAGTGAAGTCTTTTTTTTTTTTTTAGCCTTTAATTTGCAATAACCCTCCACATCTTTAAGGACTTTTTTTACGGATAGCTCTCTATGCATTTGTTTATGTGTTTTCTCACCCAGCAAACATTTGTTGACTGTGCTCTGGGTCAGTCATGCCCATGAGTCTCGAAGAGTGCTTTCAAACCAAGTCATAGGACACTTTGATCAGGATCAGCTGTGACACTTGTAGACCTATAAATCTGCACTGTTCTATATGGTAGTCAGTGACATGTGGCTGTTTCAATTTGGTCAAAATGAAATAAGATGAGTAAATCCTCCTTCATGCCAGCCATGTTTCAAGTGTTCAGTAGCCACATCATGGAGTGTCCTATTGCACTGTGCTACTACAGAATCTGACTGCTACCCTTGTTTATGTGTGGGATAAATACTGGAATATCTCAAATACTAGAATACCTCAATACATGTCCTGGTGTTTGTTTCGTCAACTTGACACAAGCTAGAGTTGTCTGGAAAGAAGAACCTTAACTGAGAATAAGCCACTATCAAATTGCCTATTGAGAAGTCTTTAGGGCATTTTCTTGATTGATGATTTATATGGGAGGAACCAGCCCATTATGCAGGGTGCTATCCCTGAGCAGGTGGTCCAAGGTTGTGTAAAAAAGTAGGCAGAGCAAGCCACGAGGAGCAAGGTAGTAAGCAGCATTCCTCCATGGCTTCTGCTTCAGTTCCTGCCCCCTAGTTTCCTGTCTTGAGTTTCTGGCCTGACTTCTCTTCATGATGGACTATAAACTTGAAGCTGAAGTAAATCCTTTCCTCCACAAGTTGCTTTTGGCCATGCTAAGAAACTAAAGACAGAGGTAGAAACCAAACTAAGACAACATACTTCCAGTCCTATTATCTTGTATCTTCATTCTAGACCCCACTGGGCTCACTGACTAATCCTGAAGGAGGATCATCCCAGAGTGCTCGAGTCTCTTATCACCTTGAACCAGGAGACAGGTAAGAAGCTGCAACTCTAGGGCATCAAATAGGCTCAGGACCCAGTAGCAGAAAAGCAGGATATGAGAGTCATGGAGAAGCTGGGGAGGGTCAGAGGGCTGAAAGGGTTGGATTGTATTATGGGCTGAATGTTATGTCCACCAAAGTTTTTAATGTTGTGATCTAATCACTAATGTGATCACATTTGGAGGTGGAACTTTTGGGAAGTGACAGGGTCATTAGAGCAGAGCCTTCATGAACAAAATCAATGTCCTTATAAAAGGGGTCTGGGAGAGAGAACCCTCATCACTTCTGTCACATCAGCACATATAAACAAGATGGCTGCGACCCAGCATACAGGCCCTCAAAGCCCAGCAAATCCTCCATAATGTTGACCTTGTACCTCCAAGTGAGAAATAAGTTGTTGTTTATAAGTTACCTAGCCTCTGGCGTTTTATTATAGTAACCAAAATGAACTATGATATACTGAGACAGAATAGAGTAAGTTCAAAGAATACTTCTTCGTATGCCAAGGTCCATCTAACTGTTGAATACCAGTTTAATGTGCAGGCTGACTCTTGCCATACTTAAGATCATTCATTCCTAAAGGGGGAAAGTCCATGGTGGACTTAGTGTGGAAATTCTTCAATATTAGACTAAGAAATCTGTAACTACTTGGTGCACAATAAAGAGGTATTTTGCATTGTGATTTGAGGACAAACTGTGATGGAGTGAAAGGGTCTGGAGTTGGAAACTACTGCAGAGACTATGATGTAGTCGTGCAGGTGAGACTGAAGGTGCTAGAAACAGAGATGAAGCAAACGAGAAGCAACACAGGGGAGGATCTGGTTCATTCCTGGCTGGAGATGTGGAAATCAGTTAAAGTTGGTACCAAGATTTTAAACCAAGAGAAAGGAAGATTGGCTACAATTTTTGAGAGAAACAGAAGTCTGTGAAGGAGCTATTTGAGGAGGCAAGATGAGTCCAACAAGTCTGGTATAAGTTGTTCAAGGTGATGGCGATCTTGGGATGAGAAGAGGAACTTGGATGCAGAGCTATCGATGTGGAAACTACCCAAGTGAGAGAAGCAACTCTAAGCGGGAAATGAGAACACTGACTAAATGTCTGAAACATGAAGTAGTAATACTGAGCTATGTGTGATCGCTTCGGAGACATTAGGAAGGACAGCCAGAGGAGAGACAAGAAGGTTGAGTGAATCAGGACTGTGGGAAAGAGTGAGTTATGCCATGTACACTACCCCAAAGAAGATGTCGGCCATAGCCACATGATGCTTATAAGTAATCCCAAACAGCAATTCTGGCATTTCGCCTGTGGGACCCTGGCCCATTTGAAACTGGTGCTTGGTAAAAGGGGGCGAGGCACATACTTTGATGCTGACAGGATTGTTGCCAATCTGGAGGAATGGCACTCTCTGCTTCTTGCTCAGAATAGCAGCAAACCAATAAGGATGGAGCGTGGAAGATTCTGGATCCCTTCAGGCTTTCAGGTAGAAAAGAGCAAGATCACAAAGGATGTGAGGACAGGCAAGGAAACTACCAACACCAGGAGCGTCCAGCATCATACTTAGTCACGATGCTGAGCTCTACTTCTGGGAAGAGAAGCAAAGAGTCTGGCTAGTTTCCTGGACTCCAGGAGTGAGAACTCTGTTCACCAGCAAGGATGTGCTTGGCTACAGGAACTATGATGGGCTCTAAGCCCAGTCTTCCCCTTAAGTGTTTTGAAGTATGGTTCTTAGGAACTGTATACTGTTCTTAGGAATCGTATAATATTGCTTTGTTGTTCTCTATCCCTGAGGTTATTTGAAAGAGAAAATAGTGCATGCCATCAATAAAGATGCTCCTCTCTTCCTTTTTAAATATTTCTATTTAAAGATCTTATTCTAAACTCTAGAATGACATCTGACTTTGAGATTTGACTAGTGTTGAGTAAATATCACCCTGGAGGAGTTTGACCATAAAAGAAAGGAGAAAGACAGACATAGCCCAACAGCATAAAAATCACATCCCAACCTTTCATTGAATACTTAGGGGAGATTGTTTTCATTGGCGTAGGGGTCAATCTAGAATTTTTGATAGTCTAAATTACTGCCTAGGACTTTCCTGGAAAGCCGTACATTTCAGGAAACCCCTTAGGGTCAGGCATATTTGCACAGTGAATTGATTACCTTGGGCTTTAGACAATGAGTGTTGACTCAGATGAATCAAATTAGATATATTGTCAGTTGCCTTGTGATGTACGAAGGCTGCTCTTACCCTTCCTGTTTCAGTGCTCAGTGACTGGATGCTTCTTCTCTTGGGAGTTTGCCTGACTTAGCTAGACTGAGGATATTTTTGCTTTGAGTGTCATGGAGGAAGAGAAGTGTCTTAGTGTTGCTATTGCTGTGATGAAACACCATGACCCAAAGGAGGTTGGGGAGGGGCTAAGCTGTCATATATAGCATCATATTTGGCTTGTGCTTCCACATAACCATACATCATTGAAGGAAGTCAGGACAGGAACTCAAACAGGGCAGGACCCTGGAGGCAGGAGCTAAAGCAGAAGCGATAGAAAAGAAGCCTGCTTACTGGCTTGCTCCTCAGGGCTTGCTTCACTTCCTTTCTTAGAGAACTGGGGGTGGGGAGGTTGTAGAAAGATGGCTCAGCGATTAAAAGCACTAACTGCTCTTCCAGAGGTCCTGAGTTCAATTCCCAGAAACCACATGGTGGCTCACAACCATTTGTAATGGGATCTAATGTCCTCTTCTGATGTGTCTGAAGAAGACAGCTACAATGCATGGATATACTTACAAATAAATAAAATTTAAAAAAAGAATCCACGACCACCAGTTTTGGGTGGCACCACTCACAATGGGCTAAGCCCTTCCCTACCAATAAATAATTAAAGAAATTTCCTATAGCCTCATTATGGAGGCATTTTCTCAATTGAGGCTCCTTTTCTCTCTAATGACTCTAGCTTGTATCAAATTGTCAGAAAACCAGCCAGCACAAGAAGG